GATTACGCGAGATCGAGTGTGATCATACCACTGACTACGACATCGAGGCACCCCGCTGGTCCGCGAGAGAACGAGCGAGAGAGAGGCTCTAAGCCTCCCAGATGGGGTCAGAGTAGATGGGGTCGGAGGATCGCGCCGCATCGCCGATGCATCGGCGATGCGGCTGGATGCGGAGACCGTGTTTTCCCACGCCGACGTTGCCGATGCATCGCCGACGTCGCCGATGCATCGCCGATGCATCGCCGATGCATCGGCGATGAATTGGCGATGCGGCGCGATCCGTCGACCCCATCTACTCGGACCCCATCCAGGAGGCCTCTAGAGGCGTGCCCCGCCTCCACCGTGCAGCCCGCTGGTGTCGGTGCTCCCGTAGTGTCTCCATCTGCTCCATGAGCCACCGCCTGTCGGCGGCGGGGTCTCATCCTCGGTCTCCTCTGTCCCACTCGCCTGCATCACCGTCCTCGGCCATTCTCCACTGCCCACCACCTCCCGTCTCCTATGCCACCTCTGCTGTTCCACTCCGTTACACCTTCCCTCCTCCACCGCCTCCTCCGTGCCATTTCCCACATGGCTATCCTTGGGTATCCTCCCTCATCCGCCTCCCGTTGTCGTTCCGACTCGTGGTCGAGGTCGCTGTCGCCGTCGTCATCGCCGTCGTCGTCTCGGTCCTCATCAACCCCCATCCCCCTTCGTCATCATCAATCGTCGTGTTCGTCTATCTGGGGCCGCCTTCTGGACAGCTGCGACTGCAGCTTCGCCCTGGATCATCTCTTTGCCGATGCCGCCCGTGCTGACGAAGTGCTCACTCACCACGTCGACCTTCAGCGACGGGATGCCGTCCTCCTCCTCCTCCTTCTCCTCTTCTTCCTCCTCGCAGTCCCCCATTCCCCGCCGCCTTCTCGCCTCTGCTGCGCGAGTCGGCGGCGAGGAGTGGGAGAGAGAAGAGGCACGGGCAAGCAGGGTCAGAGCGGCATCGAGGTGGCCGAGGCACCCAGGAGGCCACCAGGATGACCTTCAGAAAGGCCCAAGACGGCCCGCGGACCCGAGCTAAGGAGGAGGAGGAGGAGGAGGAGGAGGAGGAGGAGGCCCACGTGTCCCACGAGATGGACGATGCGGTTGTCCTCTCTTCACCTCCGCCTCGGCCACCTCAACCATTCACATCCACTTTCACCCTCCCGACCCTCCCCCCTTGCTTCTTCGTAGTCCAACTCAACCTCCCCCTCCTCCTCTTTCTTCTCCTCCTCCTCCTCCTTCTCATGCTCATCCTTATTCATCTACTGTTATTACATATCCTCATCTCCCCCTCCACCTCCCCACTCATGGTTCCTCCTCGTATGTCCTCAATCCTCCTATCCTATACATGGTTCAAATTCCGTGGACTGAGCCAGACGCGCTGCCTGCAGACGGGTCGCCCTGCTGCAGCCACGCCTGGTGGCGCGACCACGTCTCGGAGAACCGTTCGGTCATGGACCGCTCCACGAACGCGAACAGCAACGTCTCGCTCGAGGACTCCCACTGCACGAACGGGTCCCCGAGCTGGATGCACTTGGCCGCGTGGCACGACGCCGCCCGCCAGCCCTCCTGGCCACCGCCGTACTTCCAGGCCATCCGGCCCAGTGATATCATACGTGAGCTCTTGGCCCACGAGTGGTCGACCTTCGTGGTCTTGCTGTGGGACTCGATGTACTTGTTGTACTTGGCCTCCGCCCACTCAGCACGGAACTGGCGTTGCGCCTCGCGGCCAACACACTTGCTGCACTTGTCGGTCACACCGTCGATGTTCGACTTGATGTGCCGCTGCCAGACGCCCGCGATCGGGTTCCCCTGGCTCCCTTTTGTGCTGAAGTGGAAGCCTCTGCCCTAGGGATGAGGGCATTGACCTTGCATTGACCTTGCATTGACCTTGCATTGGCCTTGCAGTGACAGTGCATTGACCCTGCAGTGACAGTGCATTGACCTTGCATTGACCTTGAATTGACCTTGCATTGACCTTGAATTGACCTTGCTAGCAAGGTCGATCCAAGGTCAATTATCATTGATTGGCCCGCAGGCTCTATCGATGCTGTGCCCATGTGTATCCTTCCGCCGTTCCTCCATTCCTCCTATACTTTCCCGCACCGTCACTCGTTAGCATCGTCATCGTCATCGCCCGTCGTAAGCATCGTTCCCATTGCCAGGCTCGCGTGCTCAAACTGCTCGTGGTACCGTCTCATTATCCGCATCATCATCATCATCATCATCATCATCATCATCATCGGCATCATCATCAGCATCAGCATCAGCATCAGCACCAGCATCAGCATCATCTTCATCGTCATCTGCATCTTCAGCTTCAGCTTCATCTTCATCATCATCATCATCATCATCACCACCAGCATAGTCATCATCACCATCATCAGCATCATCAGCATCACCACCATCATCATCATGGTCGTCAGCATCGTCATCATCATCAGCGTGATCATCATCATCATCAGTATCATCATCATCACCATTATCAGCATCATCATCATCATCATCATCATAATCATCATAATCATCGTCATCCTCGTCATCGTCATCATCATCATATCCTCCGAACTCCACTCCACGCCACCATATGCTGGGCTCCTCCTCCTCCTCCTTTTCCTCCTCCTCCTCCTCCTCCTCCTCCTCTTAAATCTCTCGTTTCCTCCCATATTGATGGGGCGGGTTTCGCAGAAGACGTCGGGCCTTCACGTCGGCCCACATGGCCGCCCTCGCCTGCTCCTGCGTGCACTCCTTCGGGCCGTCGGGCTCGGTGTCGATCTTCGTCTTGTCGACGTCGTCCTGCTTTGCCTTCATCAGCGACACGCGAACCTCAGAGAAGAACATCTTCTTGAGCTCCGAGCACACCTTGCTCTCGTCCATGCTCGCTGCCACGTCCGATACAGCGTTGCTCATCGCCATCACATGCGCACGATGCTCAGCCTTGGAGTCCATCGACGAGCAATCGACGGTCTCATCACCGACCGTCTGAGGCATGACGAGCGGCTCATCATCAGAAACTTCATGCTCGACCTGGGTGTCTGCTGCTGCGCTGCACTCCTGAGACGAGATGTAGCCACCAACCAAGTTGCTGTCCGACGGGCGATCAGCGTCGTACCCAAGCTCTCCGTGCTCAGGTTGGCGGCCAATCCGTTCAGGCGAAATGGCATCGCTGGCGGCAACTGCAACCGCTGGCGCACTCATCCTGAATGCGTTCCCGATGCGGGTGGTTCGCAGCGGGGAGCGAGGAACCTGAACCCACTCGATGGACATGGTTATGGCATCATCATCTTTATCTTCGTTAGCATCGTTATCATTATTTTCATCATCATCATCATCATCATCATCATCAGCATCGCCACCATCACCACAATGATATCATCAGCGCCATCACCAGCAGCATGACGATCAACATCATCAGCATCAGCATCGCCAGCATCATTGTCATCATCGGTATCAGCATCATCATCATCATCACCGTCATCATCATCATCATCATCATCATCATCAACAACATCAACATCAGCATCAACATCATCAACATCATCACCATTACCACCGTTCGCAGTGCCATCATCATCGTCATCATCATCACCATATCTCACCCCCTACGATCTTGCTAGCCCATCCCACCTCACCTTTTCTCCTCGGCCCTCTACTCTCGCACCATCCCTTTCCCTCACCCTCCCGCCCTTCCTCTCGTCTTCATGTCATGCTTCATCGCCGATCGTCCTCTGCTGAGAACGATCGGGCACGAGGCGATGAAAGGGGAATCTACATATACACTCGTGTGTACATACGTACATATATATATATGTATATATATATATATGGTATACGTACATGAAAAATACATGTCGGACGCGTAAGCTAGCTTAAGATATGTAACGCGGACGCTTTCCCCGTCATGACGGTTACGCGCACGCCTACAAAAAAACATGTTGCATAACACATCTAAGAAATCGCAACATACAAAATAACCGCTGGCGGTAAAAAAAAAAACGCCAAGAAACTGGCAGTTAAAAAAAGCGCCAACGAACCTTAGGGTTGAGCCCCGAACAATCTCCGGACCCGTGGAGGGCCCCGAGAGCTTAGGAAAACGCAGAAAAATCTCAGGACCCGATTCCCCCACGGGCGACAGCGTCGAGAACTTCTGGCCGCGCGCACATGCACCGATCCTGGCCAGGCCCATCCTGGGCACATGATTCGCCAGCCCAGGGCAAGTGCACATGCATTACTCCTCTCTCCTCCAGGCAGGCCGCTCTCGGCAGAGCTGCTCCGCAAGGTGGTGTTCAACAGGCCTGTCGAGCCGAGCCTGGCGACATCCGGCGCACACTCTCTCGCGCCGCCGGAGACTCGGGGCGCAGGACGAGCAGGCGCAGGGGGAAGGAGGCGCTCTGGAGCCCCAAGGCGCTCCCGATCCTCGCGCCGCCCCCGTGGCCAACCCGCCACGGTGCGGGGGCGACCTACGCGTCGCTGTCGTCCGCCTCATCGGCTTCGTCTTCGACGTCGTCCTCCTCCCCGCTCCCCCTCTCCCTCCTGATCCTCTTCCCCCTCTCTCCACCAGCCTATCGAGCTGTCCTCCTCCTCGTCAACGTCCTCGACGTCGTCCTCCTCCTTCTCCCTATCCCTCCTGATCCTTGGGCGCGCGAATAACGGGAGGCGGTAAGTGGAGGGGGGGAGAATGGTGCTGTTTCCCGGCCCTTGGGTGCCTCCTGTGGGGCCCTGAAAGGCCCTGTTAAGGACCCTTACGGGCCTCTTTTCTGCAGCCCTCGCTCGCCCCCTCCCTCCTGATCCTCGTCCTTGTCCTCGTCTTCGACGTCCTCGTCCTCTTCTGATCCTCGGGGTCGTGCTCCTCCCCTCCCTCCTCACTCCTGATCCTCATCCCCCCTCCCTCCCGATCCTTGCGATCGTCCTCCTCTCTCCCTCGTCCTCGTCTTGGACGTCGTCGTCTCGCTCTCCCTCTTGATCCTCTTCCCTCTCTCTCCACCGGCCTATCGAGCTGCTCACGGCCATGTCGCCCTCGCCGTTTTTGGCGACGATGTAACTGGAGATGAGGTCCTCCCCTGCGCTCAAGGGGAGAGGAATGGGAGATAGGAGAGAGAGAGAGAGAGAGAGAGAAAAAAAAAAAGGGGAGAGAGAGAGAGAGGAGGAACGAGGGTAAAGCCCGCTGTCATCGGCATTTTTCGGTGCGAGCCAACTGCTCCCAAGTCTCCATTGTCTGCCCTCTCTTTTCATTAGCTATCCCTGCATTTCTTCTCCTGTCCTTCCTGTCCTCCCCTGTCTTTCTGCACGCACCGTTCGGGTGGCCTCGAGCAAAGCTCGGACACCATCCTGAGCACAGCCCAGCACAAGGATGAGAGAACATTATATTCGAAACCCTTTGCGCTGGCGAACTTCGTTGGAGAGGATACCAGCTAGTGGTCTTCTCCTGTTGGCAGCGGGCTCGGGACACTCGAATTTCAGAACAATGAGGAAACCCTAGGCTTGCGAAGTATGATGTTCCCTCTTCCTCCTCCTCTTCCTCCTTCTTCTCCCACCATCCTCCTCACGCAAGGTGCCGCCAGCTAGCAGAGATGAGTTCCTCGGAGGCGCCACAGTGAACTTGAGTACAATGAATCCGACAATCTGTGGTCTGACATCGTGGCTGGAGCACGTAGCAGGCTGCCACAATGGTCGTACGATTGTGTGCGCTGAGTGCTACGATTATTGCAAAGCCCTCAAGGCTCAAAGCTTTTGATTTGCCAAAATTGTTGGGCGTTCTCGCGAGTTCTCGGGGTGCCGCTGAGCCTCCGAGACAACAACATGGTTGACCAAACCGCGCGCAACGCCCGGTGCCCAGGACTTCCCACCCGGGCCGGCCCCAAACCTCCCTGAGATCCCCTGGAGAAAGCTTCCCCGGAGCCCCTCTTGAGCACCCCCTGAAGGGCCAAACGGCCCCCTGGGTTACCCCCCATGAGTCCACAAGGCGCTGCTGCTGGATATGGGACGCGGGCCATGAGGTACAAGATCACGCTCGCAAACTCAGGCACGCACGCGCAGCACAAACACGAACACGCGCGCACACGCAAGCATACATGCGCGCGCCAGCCCGGCGGTCCACGTGCAAGCATGCACGAGCGCACACACACGAGCGCGGCAAGTACCTCTCTCTCACACACGCACGCACACCCGCACCACATAGTTTGACAGCCCGGGTGGCCAGCAGAGTGCGCGCCCAAGTTCCGAAGCCGTTTTTGACGGGCTCACGAAATACGCCTGCACTTCACCGCCACATAGTGGAAGAGCGGACCAGAGTGCCAACCCCGGAGAGGACGATGGCCGACGGCCCAGTGGCGCCATAGGCCGAGCCCCCCCCCCCGCCGGGATGGAGGTGCCAGCGGCAAGCACCGTGACGCCCGCATCCTCTGGCTTGATGCCTGGCCGGCGCCGTCGCCGTCATCGTCCTCCTCGCCCCAGGGTCCTGCTCTCGCTGCCCTTCCTGATGATGTTCCGTGCCGACCCTCACTGCCCTCCTCTTGCTTCTGCTGCCGCTCCTCCTCTTTCCTGTCCTGCTCTCTCTCTCTCTCTCTCTCTCCTCCTCCACCTCCTCCTCCTCTCCTCGTCCTCGTCCGCTGCCGATGCCACTAGGCCGCCGCGACCGGAATACCTCATGGGACCCTGCCACGCCCTGGCCAGCAGCCTCTAATCGGACCGCTCGAGAATCTCAAACCATCCGTACATCTTGCGGGGAGTACATAATTTTCTTCCGCCAGCCCACAACATTTCCAGATGCATCCGAATAGATTTCCCTCAGGAATCCCAGAGATGCCCGAACGGCTCCTGAAGAGTTCGTCCGGACGCCCAATCCACAAACTCTCAATAATTCCCTCAGGATCAGCGAAGGAATCCAGGGGAATCCGTAGCATATGGTGGACAATCCTCAACAACGTCCCCTGCCGAACCTTCAGGTTTTCCTCCGAAGTCATATGCGGATGTCCCCAGGCTCACGATGCCCCCCCGTCCTGGAGGACCCATCAGAGGGTGAAACAGTCTGCCCAGGGAAGCGCTATGACTACCAAGTGTCGGAGCGCGACGTTTGGGGGTTGCCCACCAGTCTTCGACAGCATGAGAGTCCAAGGGCCCTGTCAATCAGAGAGCTGACACGTACATGGGCATCCGTTTGACTTCGTCGTCGTCTGCCTCCTCCTTCTCCTCTTGCCGCTCCTCTTGTTGTGCTCTTTGGACAGCAATTCGCCTCGTCGACTGCTGGAAACGCAAGGTGGAAACCGCCGTCGTGATCCACGCGAGACCTCTGTCGGGCTCATCATCGCACACCCGACGTCATATTTGTTTCATACGCGACTCCCAGAAGCCTCGAACTCTTCCCGCGGTATCAGTTTGTCAGTATGGATAATCCCACCAGCCCCCTGGGCGCAGGTGGTCTAGAGCGGTTCCTTTCCCAGCCTCCTTCTTTTCCCTGCTCGTGAGGTTTACCTCCACCACCCCTCCCTGGGTCTGGACGGGCTCCCCCGCGAGGGGTTAGAGCGTCCAAGATGGCCCAAGATAGCTTCAAAAGGGCTTTAGCCAGCTCAAGATGGCCGCCAAGATCGCCCAAGACACCTCAAGACGGCTCAAGATAGCCTGCAACACGTGTCCAAGAGGCCTCAAGACAGCCCCAAGACAGTTTCCAGTGCCCTCCGAGCCCTCCAAGGACCCCCCAAGAGGAAAATAGGTTCAAAACTTAAGGAACACCAATGTGTTGTGCCTTCTCGCTTCTTCGCTTCCGATGAGCTCTTGAGGTGGCCCAACATAGCCCCAAGAAGGGCCCAAGAGGGCCCCAAGACAGCCCCAAGAGCGCCCCAAGATCGGTCCACGAGGGCTTCAAGACGCCCCTTTTGGGCATCCGAGGAGGGGGGGGACGTAAATTTAAGACCACCCTCTTTCTGAGCGAAGGGGTCCACGACGGCCCCAAGAGGCCTCCCAGCCCCCCCCGAAGAGCCCCAGGAGGGCTCCAAGACCCATTAACAAAAACCCAAGAAGGTCCCAAGAAGGCCCCGAGAGGACCCCAAGAGGACCCCAAGATGGCGCCCTCATGGTATTACGAGTCTCTGATGAACCCCTCACCACGACATCTGCCCAAAACCCGACGTCTCGTCCTCCTTGTCATCGTCCGTTCCTTCCTTGCTTCTTTCCTGCCGCCTCCCTGCTCCTCTTCATCCTCCTCGCGCCGCTTTCCTCCTGCTCCTCCTCCTTCCCTTCCTCCTTTTCTGTTCCTCCTCCTCCTCCTCCTCCTACTCCTACTCCTCCTCTTACCCCCAAGATGGCCCCAGGCATCACCAGCACCAGCAGCACCACTTGCTCCAAGATGGCTGCAAGAGGACAACAGAGCACCACAAGCAGCAGCACCAGCAGCATTACCATCACCGCCAACACCACCACCACCACCACCGCCATCACCAGCACCAGCCGCCGCACGCGAGTTTAAGATAAACTTCGGTGCGGGGCCAAAGATCAAGGATGCATATGGGGATGCGACCCTCAACTGTGCGACGAGGGCGACGAATGATAAATACAATCACCTGCGCCAGAAACGCTTACCACAGGGAACGCCCCAGCGTACCTTGCGCTGGCGTCCAGCTTAAACTTCGGTGCGGGAAGCTCTGTCTGATCCTGGTTTCTCATGGCCCAAGGTGGATACAGCCACCTGCGCTAGAGACGCATCATGCGGGGAACTGTTTGTGATCATTGTTTTTTGGGTTGTCTGAAAACGGCCGCGCAACTGCATGTTTCCAGCCGTCACTGATTTACCAACTCCCCTGCTGGTGGGGATACGTTTTTAGTCAGCGGCCGCGGGCGAGCGCGCCAGCGGCGAGTCAGGTCAAAGCGGGCTACGCAGAGACTAATTCGGCAGAGGAAACGCGGGGGGGGGGGAACAAAAAAACGGGTGGGGATACGCGAAGCGTCAAGAATTTTCTGCGGGGCCCCGAAACCCAGCAAAACAAAGCCCTCAATAATCGAAACCCACCCACATCCTCAGGTCATGTTTCTACACTGCGTGAGGGAGATTGGGGCCCAGCGGTCGAATTCGTTCCGCTGACCTGTCCCAGAGTGCGTTTCGACAATAATTCAGAGGCGGATCCACCCGTGGCGATGAGAAGTTTCCCAGAGGCCCGACAAGGGTCAGGGACGGCCAGACATTTCGATCCACGAAATGCGGACCTTGAAGCCTGGATCCACGGGCTTCGATTTCCTCCCTGCTCCTCCCCGAAGGCGGGGTGCTGGGGGTGCGCTGGGCTCGCCAATCCAGTTCGCGACAATGACCGTGCACTCGTAGAGGGCGTTCGAGAAGATCCCGATCCAGATCAGCGAGATCAGGAACTGCGCCCATCAGGTGGGGACGCGTTCAACGGGGAGGATGACGAATCTTCATAGAATGTGGTCTAGGAGCCCGTCTCAAAGTTCCAGCAGTATCGAACATGATGCTGGGATTAATCACTCCTTCCCAATGCGGAATCTACTCCAATGGCGCGTTATCGTCGGATACCCTGGGGCCTCGGAACGCACTCCACGAGCAAATGGATAACTCAATATGGCGTGTGGTCAATTCCTTTAATCCCTGACCCCCTCCCCAAAACAAAACACATCACCAGCCATAAGGAAGGGAGGGGAGGAGGAAGGAGCCATGAGGAGGAGGAGGAGGAGGAGGAGGAGGAGGAGGAGGAGGAGGAGGAGGAGGAGGAGGAGGAGGAGAGATGCCGGGGTGGAAAAACTGCCAAGGATAGACTCCGAGAGGGGGTCCAGCGACAGGTCTTGGGCGGGTTTCGGCCTGAGGACGGGCAGCGGAAGGAGGAGATGGGTCTGCTCCCTCCTTTTCCTCCTCGTCCTCCTACATCCTTGCTTCTTCCTCCTACCTCCTCTCTCCTCCCTTCTTTTCCTGTTCCCCCTCCTCCTCTTCCTCCTCCTCCTCCTCGCTCCTCCTCTCTCCTCATTATCCTCCTGCCGCTCCTCCTCTTCCATCTGCTCCTGTTCCTCCTCCGCGTTCCCGTTCGGGCGCTCCAGCGTAAGCCTTCCTTCGCATGCCTGCCCCTTCTCCCTCGCACGCCCCCGCGCTCGCGCAACGACCGGTTAGGGGGGAGGAGGAGGAGGAGGAGGAGGAGGAGGAGGAGGAGGAGGAGGAGGAGGAGGAGGAGGAGGAGGAGAAGGAGGAGGAGGAGGAGGAGGAGGAGGAGAAGGATGAGGAGGAGGAAGAGGAGGAGGAGGAGAGGGAGGAGGAGGAGGAACTATCGACCGAAGTATCGAGCGAGGGACTCCGCGGTCGACTCGGCCGCCGCGGCACCCGCCCGCGCCGACCGCGCGGGCTCTCTTGAAGTCGCGAACGCACCCCAGAGACAGGGCGGGACTCCACCTCCCTGCCGCTCCCAAAGCAAATCTCTCTGCGGGGCCGAAGCCCCGTGCCAGGCCGCGCAGACCGCGCAGGCCCGAGCCGCGCTGCCGCGGCTGAGGTCGCGAGCCAGCCCCCTGAACAGGGCGGGCCTCCACCTCGCTGCCACTCCAGGGCAGAGTAAATCTGCGGGGTCGAAGCCCAGTGCCATGCGCTCAACCACGCGGCCGTCGCCCAGCAGCAGCTCGTGGTAGCCGACCGTCGTTGGGCGGCACCGCTCCGTCTGGCCAGTTATGGCCCGCTTTTGGTGGTAGTCCATGCCGAAGTCGACGCAGCACAGTCGTGCCACCCGGGGTAATCTTACCCCTGCACTTCGCAGCCAGCAAGTTGACTCTGCCATGTCCATCATCATTGAGTGAAGCAACTGCCGCACACTTCCAACGCCAGAACTGCTCATGGGCCACCGCGATGCAGTGGCAGGCGTGGACCACCTTGCCCTTTATCTATATCATTTCGTTGTTGGGTACTTGTGCAGCAGATCCGTGATCAGCTCGGCGCGTCTCGTAATTACTGTCTTCCGACACGCACATCGGCCTTCATCCAGTTGGCCACGCTGTACTCACCAGGTGTGAGCCAACACTCTTGGCATACCTTTTTGGTCCTTCTCCTTTAGCATCGTGTGTGTTGAGCCTTGTTCGACTTCCGCCCGTCTTTCGCGTGCTATCTTTTTGGGCGCCTGTCTTGGTATGTCCAGCTTGCTGGGGCCCGCTTCCTTGCAGATCTCGTGGATAATGGCTGCAGCGCGTCGCTGGGCTCTCATGGGGGTCGTCTCCACTTCAATTCATAGTTTGGTCTCGCCGCGTATCTCTGCCATGGCCTCTCCTGCTCCCCGCTGGGCAAGGGTGTCCGCGATTTCGTTGCCCATGTTGATGTGGAAGGCCCGGCCCGACTGCGTAACGAACTCCTGGTCGAGGTGGGGCAGGCATTTGTGGACTTGCACCCCGTGTGTTCCACCAGGTCGCTTGCCTATCATTTTACCCATCCTGTCCCACCATGGTCTCTGGGCTCCTTGGGGCTTCCCGTAGTGCCCTTGGTCCAGCCATGCGCGACTTGCTGGCAGTCTGTGAGGATCTCGATCGGACCTTGAGTAAGCGCCAACGCCCAGAATAGACCTGCATGTTCAGCTGCTGGTACGCTCTGCTCCCCATCGATCGTGCCGTAGAAGCCGGTGTGGTCTGTGCCGTCTGTGGGCAGTGGGTGACGACGGGCTGCGTGCACTTGCCCTGGCGAGGGCCCTCACGTGCAGCTTGCGCGGCAGCGTGGGCAGACAGCAGGAGGCCCAGGGGGTAGACAGATCAGGCGGAACTACCCTGCAAGAAGTTGTAGAACATTTCGACGAAGGCCTCGCTGCGCCAGAAGAACGGGCAAGGTCGCGAAGTGCCCGTCTGTGCCGAAGACCGACTGTCACCCAATTTGCCACTTTGCCGACGAAGCCCATCGCGAAGCCGGGCGCGTTCAGGAAGGGCGCGATGCACTGCGCGAAGAAGAGCACCACCACTAAGCACCAACCAAGATGAGATCGCCGGCCCCCCCGCCAAGCACACCTGGAACTGCGCCGACGTGGAAGAAGTCCCCGATGGGAAACGATATGCGCGCGCCAAGGCGACCAGCTCCTCCCTGACCAACCATCTCGGCATATGGCGGTATTGCGCCACGTGCGATAAGACCGTGGCGACGCGGGCGCTGGCGCGCGCGGGCAGTCGCGCGACGGGGAGATTGTTGCGCCCAGCTGTCTTAGCACGAGATTGCGCCCGCATGGCAGGAACCAGCCAGCGCGAATCGGCATCGGCCTCGGGCCCGATGACCAACCCCAGGCAAGTGGGCTGCCCGACCATCGTGACGTTTGCATCCTATGGCGCACGAAGACTGAGCGCCGCGCGGCCCTCCTGGGCCACCTCCTCTGGGAAGACGCGGTGAAGTGGAGCCGGCTTGCATTTGTCGGTCCTGGGCTTGAGTGCCGCGATGAGCCCAGCCGCGGCCGTGACCTCCGCGATGATGCCTAAGGAAGCGAGACGCTTCGCTGCGCAGCCAATGTCGTCCGCGCAAGCTCGCGCGATGCCTGCGCGAGGCGCCTCAACGCGCGCCTGCAGGTCGACCGAGAAGGGCGAAGTAGCCGCCACATATATCAAGCCTCAGAGCGATCATCCCTGCGCAATGCATGGCGCAACCCGCCGCGCGTGCGCCGGCACTTCTGCGCAAGCGCAAATGCTTCGAGCTCCGCGTGCATCTATCTGGTCAATGACCGCGAGGAATGCGCATCGCATCAGAAACGAGGTGCGTGAACACCTGGGACAGGCTCGGGAACGCCGCCCCAAAGTCGAGGGCCACGAGCGCTGGAAGGCCATGCCGAGCACGAGGGACATTCGAGTGGACCCTGCGCAGTGCATCCAGCTCTAAGATGTCGACCCCGCAGTTCTCAGAGAACAAAGCCCCCCTGCGACCGGGGCGACCAGTGACGCGAGAGGGACGAGAAGCAGACGTCGATCGTCGCAGCGATGACCTCCAGGTCGGTCTTGCGCGCGTCCAACCGAGACCGAGGAGGGGGGGGCCCTCGCTCATGGGCAGCCAAACCGGCGTCGTGTCGTTGGAGGACTTGAAGCGCGGTTGACCAAAGAGGACCCAAATCGTCGCGTCCGAGAGGACATCGAGGCCAAGCGCAGAGGATTGCCGCGCAAAATATGGGGTGCTAGCCAAACCAGGCTGGGAGTGGCGAAGGCGACGTGCGACCGACTTATGGAGGGCTGGGGATAGGCGGGCCAACCGCGCCGAAGTCGAGCGGGCGAACATTGTGAGCCGCGTAGTCAGTTCGATGATCGATCGGCTTCGCGGTGAATATCGACCCCCGGTGCTCGACGAGACGGGCGTGCATGTGCAGCTCGTCAGTGGCGACGCCGTCAGCATCAGCTGTGTCTCGAGTACCTTGAAGCGCCATGCGCTCAGACAGTGGCGTCCAAATCGCAGCTCGTCGTTCGAGAGCTTGGACTTGGTGACGGGGCTGCTGCCGAGGACGGCGCCTAGCAAGGCCAGCCTCCAACTGTTGGCGACGAGGGCCCGCGCGCCCTCGCTCCGCCGCTGGGAGGGCGGCGCGTGGACGACCGAGGCCGCGCAGGTCGAGCCCGGAAGAGATTCGAAGGCCGCCTGACGGCATTCACGAAAGCGGGCCACATGTGCCGCGTCATCGCGCCAGACCGCGCGCGACATCTGACGGGCAATCGACAGCTGAGATCCCAGCTCCTCTGGGGCACCGCGAAGATATCGACCCCGGACTTCGCGAGCGACTTCGCGAACTGCCCAATTTAAAAGTTCGAGGCGACGCGGGGCGAGCGGCTTTGAAAATCCAGCTTGCCTGCGAAATTGCGGTGCAAAACTTGGAAGGCCTTCGACTCGAAGATGCGTTGCGGGAGCTGCCGGTACTCGGCGGGCTTCTCCGCTCGGAGCAGAAAGAGTAGACGCTGGCCGAATGGTCGCTCGCCCCCCGCTCGGCAAGGGCTTCAGTGAGGAGGACCGCGCGCGGGGCAGCAGTAACTCGCCGTGGCGCCCCGCCAGGTACACTGACCCCGAGCGCGTCGATCAACGATGCGGAGTGCGCGCCGGCATCGCAGCGGGTGGGCTCGCCCGAAGAAATCCCCGCGAGCGGCGCCAGCATCTTGAGCCGGCGAGCCGCTTGAGAACGCCGCCCAAGGCCACCCGCCACCTCTCGATCAGGTGGTTGAAGAAGAAAGGGAGACGAGTGAGAGAGATTGATATCGCCATGAAATGCGACGGCGCACTTGGTCGAGTCGCCGAACGCCGCCTTGGGGCCCGCCAAACGAGCCGCCCCAATCCGGCGCGCCTGATCAGGAAGGAGTGAATGGCGATGCACATTGTACAGAAAAAATAACCCGTATAATCAAGGCGGCGTCGAAGGACACGACCTGGCACAAGCTTGGCGGGCGCG